GAGCCTGTTGATTGGCTGCGGAACAAAGAGGTTCTCAGATCTCTCTGTCCTGCAGTCAATCAATAGGCTTGAAAAGCCTTGTCGTACGACATATGAAATATCGGGCTAAGTAGTGTGGTTATGCCATGCAGGTGGCTACGTTACTGTAGCATCCGAATGGCTCGGGTTTAAAAGGCTCATTCAGGATAGCATGCACTTTGCGTTGTCAACGCAAAGATAAAAAAGGATAAAGGTCTTTTGTCACAATTTTTATGTAAATTTCAAAAATTCTCGGATTTCTGTAATTTTATAACATACTAAAATATTTTCTTTTATATATAGAATTGATGTAGGAAATAAAATTTATTAGTATTCCTGAAAAATGTTCAATTTGTAAAATTCTGACAAAAATTTTCACCTAACATAAAAAAAATTAAGCAATATTAAGGACATAATCAGTACTTTTAATTAGCTTTAATGCAACAAAGATAACGAAATGTCAAAATGATATCATCTTCACGTCTTCGTGACAATTATTTCAGTGGTCCATTTTTAGTCACATAGCAAAAAATGACGAAATCTCAGTCAAAATGACACCATGTTGATGTTTCCGTGATAATTGTGTGTTACTTGGGTATGGGCGCTTGACGTTCATTCCGGTTGTCTTTTTTATTATTATACAATAACATTTATACTTTAGCAACGATTTTCACTATACATAGGAACATGGGTTATTTCATATTAGGAATACCCTGGGTATCTCATATTACGATTTCCACGCCTTATGGTTTTCTTATCATCAAATCTAACTTTTGTAATTAAACAATTCAACATATCCCATATTTTTCTATTAGTACGACCTTACTCTATCACTACATGAAGAATTTATTGCCAAATATTTATTTATTAAATAATAAACAAGGTTTAAATGTTCATCTCAATGAAACTTAAAGACGTCCAAATTCTAAAATCTTGTTTTACAATGATTACAGGCATGATCTCATAATGAATTTTCTACTAAATAGTTTTCAATTCAAGAGCAATAAATTTATGGTGGAACCAATAGATAGCGTTTATTAGTTTAACAGAATGCCGCTATCTCATATTGGGCGCCTATCTCATAATAGGGGGCTTTCCTCTATATATATAAAGTATATAAAATATATATACAGGGCGAGTAAAAAATCCCATACCGGTGAAATATCTCGAAAACTAAGCATTTTCGAAAGAAATGTTTCCTACAAAAGTTGTAAAGTTTTAAATGATCTATTCATCGATCTGGTCAGTATGACCTTGACTGGCGTCGCCAAGATCACGTCGATTTTTTTATATAGCACACTTTTTTATTCCGGACTCTAATAGCCGATGTCGAAAGCTTTTTACAACACTATAACAAAGTTATTTTTTATTGAGCACTTTTCGAGTTATAAGGCTCGAAAATTATAATACCGCCGGCATTAACATTACGCAAGATATCCGACTAATGGCTAAAACCTCTTGAATATTGTTCAGCATATCCTGGATAACATTTGTCAAGATCAAGTCTATTAGAGATTATTCCTCTTATTGTCATTTTTGCACTAAAAATTCATTTTTACGTAAAAATGAAAATAAGATATATAACTTCCAATGGCTTTAATCTTGAAAAATATTATCTAGAACATGATCCTGAACAATATTGACCAGATCAGTGAATAGATCATTTAAAACCTAACAAATTTTGTAGAAAACATTTCTTTCGGAAATGCTTAATTTTTGAGATATTTCATTAATCCTGGAATTTTTACTTACCCTGTACATATCGGATGTTCAAAATAAAGCGTTGCAAATTTCTATCTCAAAAACACGGTATTATTGAAAAAATTGTTCAGACAAAAGTTGTAGGATTCAGAAAGGTCTATTTACCGATCTTATCAGTTTGACCTTGGATGGCGTCACCAAGGTCAGGTCAAAGTCACATCGATTTTTTATGGAACATCCTACTTTTGCTTCCAAAATCTAATAGCTGATGTCGAGAGCTTTCCAAAACGCTATAAGAAGATATTTTTTCATTAAATACTTTTTGAGTTATGATGCTTGAAAGTTACAATACCACTGGCATTATCCAAAGTGTCCGATCGACGGCTAAAACCTCTTGAATATTGTTCAGGATAATGTCTTGGATAACATTTGTCAAGATAAAAGCCATTGGAGGTTGTATCTCTTTTCTTCATTTTACGTAAAAATGAATTTTTGGTGCAAAAATGAAAATAAGAGGAATAATCTCCAATGACTTTTATGTTGACAAATGTTATCCAGGACATGATCCTGAACAATATTCAAGAAGTTTTAGCCGTCGGTCGGATACTTTGGGTAATGCTGATGCCGGAGGTGCTCTAACTTTTAAACATCATAAAATCGAGAAATATTTAATAAGAAATAACTCTATTATAGTGTTTTGTAAAGCTCTCGATATCGGCTATTAGATTCTGAAATCAAAAGTGGGGAGTTCCGTTTTAAAAAATCGACGTGACCTTGACGTGACCTTGGCGACGCCATCCAAAGTCAAACTGATAAAATCAGTAAATAGATCTTTTTGAACTCTACAACTTTTCTGACTTTGTCAGAACAATTTTTCAATAATGCCGTGTTTGCAAGATAGATACTTGTAACGTTTTATTGTTAATACTCGGTATATATATTGTATATTATAATGAAACGGTTCTTGTCGAATTTTTAGATTGGTCCTTCTAGTGGTAGTGACAAAGTGAAGAAAGGTGGCTCATATCTATGTCACCAAACTTATTGCTACAGATACAGATGTGCCGCGCGTAGTCAAAACACACCTGATACATCAGCTGGAAATTTAGGTTTTAGATGTGCTGTATCAGCATAGGTGAAGTATTAAAGAGATTAAAACTTCGAACTTCTGGATATCAAGATTGAAATGAATAAAAAAATTACATTTTATTTACGTTTAAAATTTGTCTCAGAAATTTGTGCCTACATAAAATTATAATATATTACGTTTAATAAAACTTTTTTAAATACAGGGTGCGGGAGAGAAACTTACTTTTTTTAAAGGTTAATAAAAACGAAACTATTGCAGATATCGGTATAATTCTTTTTTCCCCTTACAGATCATCTCATCAAATTTTTTTTCATACACTTTTGAAAATTACATCTATCAAATGACGGCCGCCGTTGTCTATGCACTGATTGAGTCGATTTCTGAAGTTTCGCGTCACTCCCTGAAGCATGTCCACCGGTATTTCGGCGATGGCATTCCGAATATTTGTCTTCAGGTGAGCTAGGGTCTGTGGTCGATCCTTGTAAACGATAGACCTCAAATAACCCCATAAGAAGAAGATTGGACTGCGAGGAGGAATAATGAAGCGCGCTCGAAAGGCACGTTGAGTGGCGACAATGGAGCGGCCATTACCAAAGTATGCCTCTCGTCCAAAGCATGATCGAGACTGGCTGTGGGGGGAACAAAAATTGAGGACCTATCCTCTCGGACGCGCTCCCTCCCAGCTCCCTACCTTCACCCCTTGCCGTTTGGCGCGTTTTTCAAAAAAGTAAGTTTCTCTGTCGCACTCGTAAAATAAAAGATATTTTGGAAAAAGGAATTAATTAAATATGAGAAAAATACCGATTTTCAGTTGAAGTGGATCTTAGAGCTTAAGGGGTTACGCCTAGTTGGGTAGGTCAAAAAATCAATTATTTTTTATTGTGTTTTCTTAAAGTATATAATTTTAATAATATTTCTTCAAAATTTTAAAAGAATTGGTGCACTTATTCTAAAGTTGTGGGTATTTAGAGAGCGCTAGCTCGAATCAGGAGCAACAGCGCATGTGCAAAAGCGAATGGGCAGTAGATTGCGCGAGTACAAAAAGAAAAATAAAAGATTCGGAGGCAAGGGAAAATTGACCGGAAAAATGATCGACAAATTAACTGTGTATTACGGTTTGACGATTCGTCGACACATTGATTCGGCCGAAGCAATGGAAAGTGCAATTTGGGCCACATTTGATTATTACAACTCTACCAACGAAGCTCCGCGTCACGAAAAATGCCCTCCTGGGAGTAACTCGTGGTGTGAGTGGCAGAGAGCTTACGCAGCACTGCCTGAAGATAAAAAGAACGAGAACGGGACTTTCGAGCACACGTATAAGCCTCTTCCGCCAGATGTTTTGACAGCTATCAAACCCATCTACGAAAATTTATCTAAAAAGGAACTGCTTGAAAGATGCGTTAGCGGATTCACGCAGAACAATAACGAAAGTTACAATCAACTGATTTGGAAAATTAGCCCGCGAAGAGTCTTCTGGGTGGTGCACTCCCGGTTGAAATTGCAGCATATACATCTGCCTGCACTTTTAACAAGGGTAAAGCCTATTTGAAGATTTTTGAGGTATTAGGCGTGCTTTGTGGCCAAAATGCCCATTCATATATCGCAAAGCAAGACGAGGCTTGTGACGATTGCTGAGCGGCGCGCGCAAAAGGCCACTAGAGAGAGAAGGATGACTCGCAGATAGCGCCAACTCGACGTCCTGGAGGTGGCAATAGAGGCAGAAGGGACCCTTTATGGCCCTGGAATAGATGACTATGTAAAATTGAAGAAAATTTATTTAACTGTAAAAAATATAGAATTGAAACTTTAAATGCGATTATCTCGAAACTGTGTTATTTATAAAATGTCGTTGCGGTGTACAAAATTTCTCAAAAACTATTACACCGATCGACTTCAAATTTCACATGCTATTTATTTGTTATCACAACAGCCAGGGATTGGACGAAGGATTTTTCATTTTGGTCAACATTTTTTTTATTGCAAAAGAACCAAAATTCGTTTACCGTGAAAAAGTGACTTTTTTGTAAAATTGTTGCCATTTGTTTAAAAATCAATATTTAATCAAACCCTTCGTCCAATCTCTTCATATTACAATATACTAACGCAATCTACTTGAATTTTGATTTCAGATAAGCGGAGCTGAAGATATTGTGTACACCGTAACTGATGCTGAAAAAAAGACGTTCTGGAAGATCGGCGATATTTCTGTCATTTTTTATTATTTTTGAATAAAAAAATTTGTGAAAGTATATTAAAACATGCATTTTAAGATAGCGTTTTGTTACTTTCAATAAATATTCATTAAACCTGCAAAGAAATCCTTAAATATGACGTAATTTTCGCGAACCCAACTAGGCGTAACCCCTTCAGGTATTTCTCCTAGAAATTGAGTTTCTACAGATTTTTTGAAATTTGGATATTATGTTTAAAATAATTTTAACTATATATAATTAAAATTTCAATGATCTTAGCGATACCGAATTTAAAGATTTCACATATTTTTTGAAAACAATTATTATATACTTTCATAGATAGAAAATAGGTTTGGAATAGGAAGTCACTTTTTTTCTTCAAAGAGCGCACATACAAGAGCGTATAACAATTTATGTAGCGGTTTCTTCTGAGAGGAGCATACACACTTGGCGCCTTTTTTTAAAAAGGTAAATTTGTTATAATATCATGCATTTTGTAGTATATATTAACGAGAGATATCGCCATGAGATATCGTGATGAGATATTGAGCGATGACTACACTATCCATGTAGACAATCCCGATGACCTCCTTTGTGATCCAAAGTAGGTGACTTGATTTTGTAATGATTTTAACTGCTGGTCTGCAGAAAAGATGCAGACGCAGATTTTAGGTATGACCTACTTGGGTCATAACATCCTTCCCCCGTTGAAAAAAGAAAACGGAGGTTTGACGTTTTCTGTGAAAATATCGCTTTTCTTTTTTTTTCTCTACGCGGGATTTGTTACATTCGTCTCGTGATTTTGGTGTTTTTTAACAGTATATACAATTACAATAATTACAATAATTAAGATAATAATACTACCCGAAAGTGTATATACAATAGGTTCCGACAGAATTGATGAATCTTGTGCGTTTTCTAATTTGGTTGTTAGGTCTTGCAGCTTGGTGCTTAGATTCATTAATTCCGTCGGGTTGCGAATAATTTTCTTTAATTTTACTACTTCCGGTTGGTTTAAATCCTTATGTTCTAACTGATTTCGCAAACGAGTTAAATTGTATTCTGGTAAGCGCGTTTGAATGGTTGCGGCTTTGATGGTTCCTATGGTTTTTACAATCATATCCGCAGTTGTTAATTTACATTCTCCATATAGCGCAATTTGTCCCGTTCTTATGATTCTTGTTCTATACTCCTCGCGATTTTTACAGTCTATCGGAACTGTTTGTTCATAAGCGGTGAAGTATAGCCACGCTCGTTGATTTTGAGGGCTATCCATATGGAGTGATTTGACTGAATGTATCGTGTATAATATAGTATCTTAGAATTAGAATTTTGTACATTTGAACTTCACATAATGAGTTGGTGTTTTCGTGGTATATAGGATTGGTGAGTTCGCAGATATAAGTATAATCGATTTGTTTACATCTTACATTTAAGCCTTCGTGTGTTAATGTCATATAGTGTTGATTTTCGTTATCTATTGCCATTATATAGTCTGATCTACTTCAGTCAGAGTAAATACATTATCGTGGTCGGGTGTGAGTAATGATATGACCTTGAGTATATCATATTTTGGATGAGAAATTAGAGGGAATTTTAAAATGGTGTGTATATTCGGTTCGTCATAATAAGCACTCACAGTAATACATTTTTCTATTTCGAGCCAATTTGACTCAAGGGTCATGAAAGAAAAATGGAGTCCTAGTGGCAAATGTAGCTGAGCATCTTTCAGGCTGGTTACGATTTCATTTATGGGCGTAATCCCAGGATGTATTTTCCTTCTTTAACAAAAGTGAGGTGGTCGCCAATACAATTTATATCTTGTAGGATGTCCGTGATAATGACATTTAGTATAAAAAAATATTCGTCCATTTCCTCCCACAGTTCTTGTTTGGCCATCTTGTTATTTATTCTGCTAGTAATGTTAAAGAGTAGTTGAGCATTGTAGCTGGTTACTTCTTTTAATTTATCAACATGCGCGATGGTAGTATTTAGAATTTTTAATTGATTCGCCATGACACGATGAAGCGTATGTTGTTTATTATTCAGAATTGTAATTTGTTCTTTGATGATTTTTTCATCCGGAGCATCCATTGTGTCAAAAAGTGCTTTAGCAATGGAGCCTATTCCGTCAATCAATCCGGGTTTTTTATTTTGAGTTGATAAATAGTGTTTATTCGATCGATTAGAGTAATTATTTTAAGGTTTTCCGCTTCAATTAACTGTTTCATATTCTCGCATGTTTCGCGTTCTTCCGTTTGTATCCCACACAGATGATGAACATGATCAATATATTCTTGTAACGTATGAATTCGCTTATTTATCGAGCTAATGTCTATATTTATCACCAGCTTCCATGATGATTCTGCTTGATATAATTCTCCTAATTTTTCGTAATATAATCCTGGTTTGTATAAAAAAATTTTGTATTTCGTAGGCTTCATTTTTTATATGTCGTCCGGTTTGTTGAACCAGTGGTCATTAACCTGAAATCAATGAGCCAGATTATTGATCGGCGTATTTTGTTGATACTTGGAATATTATATTTCTTTCCATGATTGCTTATTGTTAATGGACCAACAATGTCTAATGCACATTTCTCGAAAGGTCGTCGAGCTGTATCTGTAATTTTCATGGGCGCCTTAATTCTTTTTACTTGTTTTTCTGGCATAGTTCACATTTCGCGATAATTTTCTACATCTCTAGTTAATCCCAGCCAATTGTGTTTCAATCGAATCCGTTTAATAGTTCTTTCTGTTCCTTAATGTCCTCCTAAAGGTGAATCGTGATATTCACACAGAATTCATTGTTTATCGACGTCGTTATACTCGTTTGTTTTATCGCTATTTCCTTTGCGTGTGTCTTCGGCTGCCACATCTTCGGGTGATGTAATGATATTTACGCATCGGCTTAATGCGTCGGCGTTCATGTGCATTTTGCCTGCACGATGAATGATCTCGTAATCGTATTTTGCCTGCACGATGAATGATCTAGTAATCGTATTCCTCTAATTTGAGTCTCCACCGGATTAATCTCGATCCAGGGTCAGTTACATGAAATAACCATACTAAAGGTTTATGGTCAATTAGTATTTTAAATTTCGTGCCATATAAATACGGTCGGTAATGCTTAACTGCACATATGATGGCTAATAACTCTTTTTCCGTTGTATTATATTATAATTACGTTCCGCTTTTGATATTACGCGACTAGCATAAGCTATTGGTCTATCGTGACCCAAAATTCCTTGAGAGAGGATGGCCCCGATTGCGTAATCAGATGCGTCGGTAGTCACAAGAAATTCTCGTGTGAAGTTTAGATATTGGAGAACGGGTGTGTGTGTGGTGATCAATTTATTTTTTAATAATTCAAAAGCATTTTGTTGTTCGACTGTCCATACGAACGATTCTCCTTTCTTTGTCAATTGAGTTAGAGGTTTGGCGATTTTCGAGAAATTTTCAATAAATTTCCTGTAATATCCTACTAATCCAATGAAAGCTTGTATTTCTTTTATTTTTATTGGAATAGGAAATTCGGTTATTGCTTTTAGCTTAGTCGGATCCGGTTTGATCCCGTCATCGATTATTATATACCCGAGGTAAATGACCTATTTTCTGAGAAATTCACATTTCTCAGGCTGTAGTTTTAGTTTATGCTGTCTCAGCTTATTGAATATTTCAATAAGTCGTGCGTTATGTTCCTGTAAACTTGCTCTGTATATGACTATGTCATCTAGATATACTAAGCATTTAATATCTTGTAGCCCCGTTAGAACAGAATTCATTAGTCTTTAAAAAGTAACTGGTGCATTTTTCAATCCGAAAGGCATCCTATTAAATTCGTAATGTCCACAAGCGGTTGAAAAAGCAGTTTTGCCTTTACCCGATTCAGCCATGGGAATTTGGTGACAACCAGACGCTAGGTCTAGTATAGTAAAATATTTAGCGTTTCCTAGCTGGTCCAATATATCGGTTATATTAGGCAGAGGAAAAGAATCACCTATGGTCAAATCGTTCAATTTTCTGAAATCTACGACTATGTGTAATATAGGTATTCCTGTTGCATCAGTATTTTTGGGTACTAAGAGTAATGGCGCGTTCCACTCACTTTTGCTTGGTCGTATTATTTCGTCTTGGAGCATTGTGCGTATTTGCTTGTTTACTTCTTCCTAATGCTTCACCGATACGGTTTCACGTTAACAGACGCGCTATCTACCTGTGTGTGAATTTCATGTGCAACAGTTTCAGTATGCGTCAATGGATCTCCTTTTAAATGGAATATGTCATTATATCGCGTGCAGATTTCTGTTATGCTTTTTTTTCCTCAGTATTTAATGCTCTAATTTTAAAGTTTTTTCGATGCAGGTGTTTCTTGAAATCACTGTCTTGATTCTTTCTTCTTCCTTTTTATAATCGTTTCATATATATTTTCCGCTGCTATTTCCATCAGAGTTACGCAAGGTACTTGCATCTCTACATGCGCCTCCGTGGTATTTATAATATTTATTAGACAGCGATGATTTGTTGGTTGTACCAGGCAGTTACCGATAAGTACTACTGGTTGCGACTCTTCTGCTTGAATCAATCCTGTATTGTTCGTAGTTGCGATGGCTTCTGTGATCGCCTCGCATCTAGAATTGATCCTTATTATTTTGTAAGGATATAATTTCAGCGTGCTGTCTTCTATTTTTAGAAGCTTGTTGCTGTATTTCGCATGATGTTTTCGTAGAAAATCGACTCCAAGTATGCCATCGTAGTCGATTGGAAAATCATCTGCAATTACATATATTGGGTGCTGTATCTGGCGTCCATCTAATATTATGGTAGCAATTATTTTTCCTATGACACTTATTTCGTGTCCTGTAACTCCAGCTAATGTCATCTTATCTTCGTATATCAACGTTTCTCCTTTCAAATTCCGCAGTTTTACAAGAGTTACTGCTGCTCCAGTATCGAAAAGAAATTTAGTTTTTTCTTTTATAAATTCTTTGATTTGCAAGTTTATTAAATCCAGCCCTATACTGACTCGTGGCACCTCAGTGACTTGCGAAATTTGATACTCACGCGCGGGTTTTGGCGGATTCGTCTTTGCGGAATCGGCTTCTTTTCCACCT